TAGAACGACGTTAAAAATGTAAAATGAGATCAAAACTTGTGTAAACATCATCAGTAGGTTCTCTCGAACAGTGTTTTAGAATTCTTTCGGTGTCCGATCCCGGAACACCCCCAAAATGCCTAAAATTCAAAATGGCACCCACAATACGGCCTCCGAGATATCGGTATCTTCAGATGTGCATGTCGTGGCATGTGAGGTATCGTTTTCTACGTAATTTTGATCGTAGATTTCTTATTTTAAGTCGAAACAACCCACCGGTCAAAATTGGTGCCCCAAATCGAAGATGGCGGCCAAATTTGAAAGGCAGGGGGGTGCATTTTTATGAGAAAAAATCAAGTGAGATGGCAAGTGAAGTATCAGTTTCTTCGTATTTTAAGTCAACGAAATGAATCTGAAGGAAATACGAAAAATGTATTTTACTCAAAAACGTGACGTCTTATTCAAGACGCTGACCAATATGGCTGACAAGTGACAAGTCACAAATAGTGTGGTGTCTCACTGATTACTGCAAACAAACGAAGAACTCAAGTTCAGATGCCTTAGACTCAGAGGATGAACAATTTACAAATACCGAAAATAATATGGAAAGCGTTCGGTACGTTTTGGATGGTGGGTCTCTCTCTACTCCATCGAGTGCCATTGAAATATATGGTCATACTTACAAATCCATCGCTCAATTCGATGTTTGATCGGTTGTTTCCAAGTACAATGAAGCCTACGATTTGACCTCTCACATGCATGGAATAGGAACAACAACTTTATTCAATACGCTTTTATCTGATCCTTACCTGCAAGAATCTGCAAAAAGATTCTTGGAACTTAATCGAAGCCTTGAAGGAATGTAGAGAGCTGGGAAAGAGTAAATCGATGGTGAAACTGCTTGAATGCGTATTTCGGTTTGCGGCGTTGCAGACTTCCTGTCATACTTCAGTTCCTTCATAAAAAATTACCTACTAAAAGTCTTTTTTTAAAAACTCTTGGTTATTGTTCCTCTCCACATGAGGAATATTCTGTAAAAATTTCAAGTTATGATGTTGGTTTGGTCCCTACTAAAAAAAAAAAAACAAAAAAACAAAAAAAAACAAAAAAAAACAAAACAAAAAAAAATAAAAAGTACGAGCAGATATTTTGAAACATTGCAACGGAGATAGGTACGCATTTTTGGCGAAACATTACTTCTGTATGGTAATCAAAAAATATATGACTTTGAAAACCTCTGTCATCACATATCCTAGGAAAAAGTTGCAGTTTTCAAAGTCTTTATTCAACCAGAGAAATTACCCTCGACATTATCAGCCATGAAGTAGGTACCATTAATTTGGGAGCTACTTTCAAATTCAACTGTGGATGGGATGGAGCGATCTGGATGTTAGTCGGTGGGTATGGATGAATAACAACAAGAAGCTTCATCCTATTTTAAGCGACTTGCCTCCAGCTCCTGCGGAGTCCCTGCTTAAAATTATCCGGTGTAATTGTAAGAAAGGGTGTTTCATGACCTCATCTTTATTGAAAAAATACATAGGCTTCTAAATGAATAAAATAACTCATGATACAGGGTGTTTCAAAAGTCCCGCTCCCCCCATCCAACTTTCAAATGGCTAGAGATAGAACGTGTGCAAAATTGAAAAAATCCCTATAAATGGGCAAAAAATGGCAACCGTGAACTGCAAGGCCCCTTAAAATTCATCGGAGGACTTGTTAAAAAGCCAGAAACGGAAAGTACGCCAAAAAATCTATTTGAATCGTTTGCTGAAAGAGTGAAAACAGTCGAAAAAAGCAACGAAAATAACGATTTTTCGAAGCCAGGATTTTGGGTTTGAGGCGCTGCTGCACCCTTGCACGGGCTCCGTTCGGTAAAATATTGGGCATAGAGTCTACTTAGGACTAGTACTTTTAAAATATGAAACATTCAGCAAAATCCAGGTGGGGCCGGAAACGACACTCCTCCTTTGGGGGAAATTGGCTCATTTCACGGGAAAATCGAATGACCTTTAAACTGGCGTATTTGGGGGTCCGAACCCCCCCTTAAAATTCGCTCGAAGTGATTTCTGTGATTTTTACTTAAAAGTGATTATAATTCAGTAAATTATCCCGTTTTATTTTTTTCTTCACGAAAAGAACCAAAGTTATGATTTTTTGAAAATAGGTAAAATTTGACCTTTGACCTATCATAACTCGGCCCAAAATTAGATATTGATATGCGGTTTGTTGATATTGATCCTCCCTCTGCGGAAAAAAAATTCTCAGTTTTTAATGTTCTTTCCAATGTTGTCTCACTAGATAGGGGTTACCATTTGAAAAAAAAAGTTGGGGGCCCCCTGCCCCCCCCCCCTCCCGAGGGGAGGACAAAATTTTTGACCCCCCCGAGAAGATTGTCCTCTTTGAGATAGAAACATTCCAAGAGTTTCGTTTTTCTATCTCTAGCCGTTTGAAAGTTAGATGGGGGAAGCGGTACTTTTGAAATCCCTGTAGATGCTCCTTCTAAATTCATTTTTACCCCGAACGGCCACACTGATCACCATCTTGAACATCACGTCTCTTTTTCATATAAAATAAAATATTTAAAATTCATTCACATTCGTTTCGTTGACTTAGAATACGAAGAATTGGAAACCTTACTTGCCATCTCAAGTGATTTTTATCTCTTCAAAATGCACCCCCCTGCCTTCCAAATTTGGCCGCCATTTTGAACTTACAAGGGGAACTTCCCAAGCTGCCGCCTCCGATCGGGCTGAAAAAATTCGTACGAACTCTTTGGATGAATTTATTTGACCCGTATTTTTTTGTTTTTTCCAATGCCCCCCAGAAACACCCCAAAAAAATTCCGGAAAGTTTTGCTTTGAGCGCTTGAGTCTATCTACGCAGTATAGCAGCATCTACTTGCCGTCAAGTGGTGGCTCTGCGGTAGCGCGCTCGCCCAGTGATCCGGCGGGCCCGGATTCGATTCCCGGGCGCCGCGCCGCGCCAAATTTTTACGACCGAATTTTATATTCTCACACATTTTCACATCGATTCCCATTTGATACATTAGAACTTAAAACATCAATTAATTTACAACCATCAACGATCAATAACTTCTTCAATTTGAAGTAAAGATTTTTTTTTGGGAGGGGGGAGGGGTCACGCGCGCGATATTCTCGCCAATCACTGTACTTTCACATTAGCAGACGACCCGCTCCGCCCCCTCACATCGACATATTTCTCCCGATCACCCGTATGAGTCATGATTTTTCCCATCATTATCCAGAAAATGATAATGAAAAATTACTTCGAACATTCAAATTAAAAATGCTACAATTTTTCATTATCATTTTCTGGATAATGATGGGAAAAATCATGACTCATACGGGTGATCGGGAGAAATATGTCGATGTGAGGGGGCGGAGCGGGTCGTCTGCTAATGTGAAAGTACAGTGATTGGCGAGAATATCGCGCGCGTGACCCCTCCCCCCTCCCAAAAAAAAATCTTTACTTCAAATTGAAGAAGTTATTGATCGTTGATGGTTGTAAATTAATTGATGTTTTAAGTTCTAATGTATCAAATGGGAATCGATGTGAAAATGTGTGAGAATATAAAATTCGGTCGTAAAAATTTGGCGCGGCGCGGCGCCCGGGAATCGAATCCGGGCCCGCCGGATCACTGGGCGAGCGCGCTACCGCAGAGCCACCACTTGACGGCAAGTAGATGCTGCTATACTGCGTAGATAGACTCAAGCGCTCAAAGCAAAACTTTCCGGAATTTTTTTGGGGTGTTTCTGGGGGGCATTGGAAAAAACAAAAAAATACGGGTCAAATAAATTCATCCAAAGAGTTCGTACGAATTTTTTCAGCCCGATCGGAGGCGGCAGCTTGGGAAGTTCCCCTTGTTAGGGTGCCAATTTTGACCGGGGAGCTCTTTTGATTTCATATGTGAAATATACGACCAAAATTACGTAGGAAATGACATATCACTTGCCTTATCACCGAATGAACCCATGATTTTGCCGAGGGGGGGGGGGGCTAACATTCGAACCGGACATCATCATGGAAGGGGGAAAGGACAACAATGGAATCATTAAATTACTATGACTATGCCAATTTTATCATGATTTATCTCAATTTACTTAGAACTATCAAATTTCATCAGCCTTAATACAACCTTACTAAGATATATCAAGTCAAATCCTCTCGTAAAAAGGTGAAAAGTGATAATATAAATATCATAAAGAATAGACAAAAACATGACAGGAGGGGGGGAGGGCATGAATATGAATATTGAGAATAATAAGAATCTGAAGTAACATAACAGTGATGTGTAAAAATGAGAATTTGAAATGCGTCTAACTAGAATTTCAAATGTTCATGCAAATTTCTGTTTCAAGGGAGAAGTACGGCACCACCTCTGAACTGAGGGATATTCCATATCCGGAAAACATGGTGGTAGGGGAGACAGTCATCTTCTAGATAGAAAAATAAACTAAAAAATAGAATGGAACGAACGAGGGAGGGGGAGGAGGATCGAATAATGGAAACAAGAAAATGTAGCATAACCTATTACCCAACGATCAGAGCCGGATTTAGGTTTTTGCCCCCTCCTCCCTCTCTCGGGTATTTGGTGAAATATCTTAAAGGAACATGCGATACGCTAGAAATATAAGTTTTGAAAACACGGCAAAAGCGTAATCTGCGTACTTTGATTCTGCGATAGTTAAAAGGATGCACATTTGTGCAGAAAAATGTTCCAAACAAATATTTTTGGAGGGGGGAATGATTCCTTCTTCGAGGAAGGAGGATTCATGACACGACAAAGGCAAAAATGAAAATCCCGGCAGATTTGGAGTTTAAATTTATTGCAAGCACTCTCTCAAACATTTTTTTAAATTTGTGTTTTGTTGATCAACAATTTGCTCTTTTATTTTCTGGAGAGCGTTTTGACAATGTGTAATTTTATCAATTTTCTTTAACATTTTTTATGTAGATGTTCTGATCATTCTTGTATTGATTTTGCTGTCCATCTTAAACAACAAAGTTATTTTGCCAATTTGTGCATCTCTTTTCTTCCCAGAACTTGTGGAAAAACAAAGCTAGCTTCATTCTATCAGGTAAAATATTCGTTTCCAATAACTTTATTTTGATCTTATAATGGAAATAGGTAACATGTTCTTTGCTAAAACACCTCAAATAGAACACCTTATTGAAAGTGCATCTTTCAAGTTCGCTTTTCCAGATTCAGTTCACAATTGCAGGATCACAAGAATTTCCTTCCTGAAAGCTGTTGCTCTTTAGGTTTTTTACTCTTTTTCTTTTATTCTATGAAGATACTTTAGAAACACAACCGATTGCTTCGATTTGGTATCGGTCGTAACTTGTTAACTGCAATTTCAAAAGGAACAAAAGGTTTAAGTGAAATTCACCAAGGAAAAAAAAGTTGGAAGAAGAGAACCAGAGCTTTGAACTTTTTGAGCTGTTGTGTAAGGATTGGGAAAAGGTTTTGTCCCAAAACGATACATATGCAATTATACATGTATAAATATAGTCCATGCTAAATACGTTTATGCACTTCTAGACCGCGAAAGAAGATCCGCCATCTTGATGGCTGTATTTACTTTCATCGCTAAACTGAGGTCAACTGATCCCCTGGTGCAGTCTGAAAGAGTGTAAACTCATTTGACATGGACTCTACTTGCTTGGTTTCAATCAAATGTGCTCAGCTCCCTAAAGAGGAGACATGCTTAACTCACTTAAAACATCTTTATATTGAAGCTGTCGGGTGTATTGAAGACCAATTTTAAGGGCACTTGGAATAAAATATTCCAGCAGTGAAACTTCTGGCTCCTACCAAGGGAGGGTCTCTTGAAATTAAAGGCTGCAAATTATTAGGAACTACATATAGAGTATGCCAAAATACTCTCTCTGTTTCCTCATCTGACACAACTGTAAATCGTTGTTTTACAAAGTACAGGTGGTTGATTATTAATTTCTAATGAAAATAAATCGTGCAAGAACATTCTATAACATTGCAATGGATTTTTCAGTGTTCAATCTGTTCCAATCATACCTGTTTCTTCCATTTGCAAGCGGACCGTTCTTTTATTTTATTTGTAACTTGGTCAAATGCTTTTGTTTTTCAGCTCTAATTTGGGCTAAGTTGGACCATGAGCAAAGTCAACCCCTTGTCCTTACAACAGAAACAAAATTTTCTGGCCCTGCTTCAATTTTTAGTCAACGATCTGCACACTCCTTCTTCATCAGTCTCTGCTCAGATTTTTGCCGATGCATTTGCAGTATTCCTAATTTATCACACTATTTCTTTCAATCTTAAGTCAGTGTCTAACTTGATTTTTGAAAGTAGTTTTCTTCATTCAATTGAAATTCTTGAAGATTGCAATAGATATGTGATTATGCACGAGGATTTATGTCGTCTGCTGCATATCAAAAATTTTGACTGGATTATATTCTCCTTCAAATCAAATTCTAATGTTGCAAGAGCAGCTTGTCTAAGAAGATCCTTTCAAGTCATTTCCCTGTCACATGGGAAGCATCTAGAAATATCAGTGACAGATGATACTCTGTGTAGCATTCTGAATCAGCTGAATACAACTGTAGATCTGCTAAAGATAACTTTCTTCAGAAAATGGACAGGACTCACTCCAAAAATTGCCACAAAAGCCACTGTTCAGCTCCTGGAAACATTCCATCTTCCTAGTGTCAACATTATTGATGACATTTTTCACTCATATTTCAGCTGTCCGAGGTTTCTAAATCAATATGACATCTTCTCTATCAATGTCCTCAAGTATTTCCCGGAAAAGTTTTTTGCAGCCAAGCATTTTACTCCCAGTAGCATGCAATGTAAGGTAGTGAACATTCATGCAGAAAATGAAAGTGACAATAGTGGATTTCTTGTCTCGAATAATGACACCTCCCTCTCACAACTGCATAACTATCACGGTTTTTTAACAGATGCAAATTGCCATAAGAGTCATCACAACCAAGATTTTAAGCTAGTTGCAACTCCTCCTCTTCCTAAAGGATTCAAAAAATATTTTTGTCGTATCCTTTCTTGGTGCAACCTTTTCATGAGAAACAATCAAAATGGTAATAATCTTTTCTTTCTTAATTTTTCGTTCCTGTTTTTCATTGTTTTTGACATTGAATACAAAGTCGTCTTTTTTTATGTCGTCGGTCGCTTACCGATGGCATCGCTGTGATTGCGACTGATGGTTACGCCCATTTTTCTCTATCCAATCACAGACAACTTGACTTTGTTATGACGACAGAGGACAATCGCTTGCAATTAGAGGTTAGGTTTCACTGATGGTGCTCCATGGAGACACTCTGGACTCGGGTGACGAGTGATTGCGGCTGATGGCGTCAAAGCGTCACGTGACTGATGGTCTAGCTCAGTTTGACAAACTAAGCTCCGCCCATTTCTGATGGCATCAACGAAACAAAACACGAATGATTGCGCAGTGACGGCGACTGATGGCGACCGATGGCATAAAAAAAGACGACTCTTGGTTCATCCTGAAAATAAGATCTCCTACAGATCTCGTTAACCATTAATACTTTAAATAAAGCAGTTACACTACTTTATCCTACAGCTTTAATGTAAGCTCATTTTTTAAAAGTGGATCCCAGGAACTTTAAAGGAAGGCAGATAGATTTTCCATGTTGCTGTCATTAATCTCACTGCAAGATTCGAGTACCTCAAAACAACTTCGAGAAGTATGGGAAGTCCTGGAGTTCATGCAAAAACGTGATAGTCATTGCAGGAAAAATAATCCAGTTTACTTTTAACTTTTCAATTTACTTTTCAACTTAAGTGCTGTTGAAATTGAAACAATTTCATGTCCTGGGGCAAGCTGGGGAATCCCTTCTTCAAGGAACTAATCAAGTTCATTATTGAATCAATTCACCACTGTTGCATCTTGCATCCTGAAGTGGGAAGGATAAAGACGAGATGAATAAATTAATTTCAAAACTTTGTTCAAATCCTCAGAAAAATAAAAAAGGGTGCATTATGGGTATCACCACTTTTTGAAGTGAGTTTTGCCTCAATGAATATAAAGCGGAAACTCTGGAAATTTCATGAATGTAAAAATCTGATTAAATTTTATATTAAAGTAGAGGGTTTTTGCTTCAACTGCTGATGATCTTTAAAATGATGATGATCTGTTTTCAATTTTCTTCTTTTCTTTCCTTGAAAAATTGGAAAGTTTGCATAATGGGTGTGACAAATCGTCTCTCTAATATACCATCAATTCTAAGAGAATTAAAGAGTTCAAATCTTCCTCTTCTTCTCCCACTCTCATTGTAGGCAATCTTGAGCAATAAATCAATCAGCAGTCGAGGCCATGGCCACCTGATCACCTATAGCTGAAAACATAGATGTGAATACATAGCATTTGAAGTTCTGATTATTAGATGTGTCACTGAGTTTGCGTAGCAGGAAAACTGCAAAAGCATTTTTCTGTAATTGATGATACCTTCTGATCAATCCGCTGTGCGTTTTTGGAAAATATTTCAGTTTTCACCTTAAAATTGTTGACTTAAAAAATGATGTTATAGAAAGTCATTCTACCTACCATCAAAGCCCAAGGTAAATTGGCTGTTTTCTGTTCTGAAGAATAGGTACAATCGATGCTTTGCAACAGTCTTAGAATGTCATGTAACGGAGAATGACGGCCCTATGACGTAGATGAAACGCGCGATTACGTGAATGGGCAGAAAATCATCTATGTACGCATGGGTACGCGTATGTAGGTGATCATTCTACCCAAATGGCTGTTAAATTGCTTTCAAACCCAAATTGATGCTATGTAACTAAAATATAACTTGAAATGATACTAATAAGCTAAAAAACACCGGTACTTGTATAGCTGGTTATTCCATCCACCCGCCAGTTTATCTATCTGCACTGCGTTAAGTTAAATTGAATTCTTTAGCCCAGTAATCTGGGGAACGACTTGCCATCACTCCCAGCGGTACCCAAGGCCACTATAATTTAAACAGAGCAATGGGGGGGGGGGGAATAACCACCTCAGAGGTATAGGTGGTTATTTGTGGCATGGCTTCGATGAGACTCATTTTAATATAGAACATGCCGAAACTACGTTTTGCTCCATTGGTCATTCCATGTCAAATCAATCAGATAAAGGCAAACATTTTCTCGACCCCCTCCAATTTTGATGAAATTTGACTCAAGTACTTGTTATACTAACTGAGAAACTGACTGATGGACATTTTTAGTTGCCTTATGCGACGGGGGTCAAAATTGCCCCCAAAATCTCCAAGTTGTGACACTTTTTCACCTTCAAAATTCAATATCTCTGATCCTATTATGGCAACTTTTGGTTTCTTCTCTTTAATAAATACACACTCCGACGGCCAAATAATGAGAAGTGAGGTGACATCTGCATTATTGAAGCCTCCTCTCATTGGCCACACCCATAAGCTGTCATACCTGTAACACATCTTTACCCATTAATTCTTTTGATACAAATTTGGTGAAAATATGCTGAAGTTGCACTTCACTTGAAGGAAAAAAAGGGATGGGAAAAATTTTGTAGGGAATGGATGTAGGAAACAATTTGTTATCTTAAAATGACATAAATTAAAATACTGTGGACCGGTGTGAATAGAAACAGTGAATTTGAACTTTAACTGTTGGTAACCCTCAAAGGCAGTTACGAATGTTATTTTTTTTTTACACATAATTTGTAGTCTCTGATAGCACTGTCGATTACCAGAAGAATGTAGCTTTTCCAAAAAAAATTCCCTACCCCCCCCCTTTTTTTTATTTTTCCGGCCTATTCCTATTCGCCCCTGGGTGGGGTGAATAGGAATACGTGTTGACTTTTAATGATTGTTCCCATTCTTTGGACAGTGGGGTGAATAGAAATGGTGGCGGGGTTTTAAAAAAAATTTAAGGAACAAAATTTGGGAAAGAACGTCCGAAACAGCAATTTTTAATGAAAGAACAAACGCATTACCTACTCACATATTCAGAAACAAATGCAATAAATTAGAAAAATAAAGATAGGAACAAGACCTAAAGTTAATTGTCGCAGTTTTTGAGTATCTTTGAACTAGGTACAAGGTAACAAGTAACAAAGGAATCTTTTAAGAAATACCGACATGCTAAAAAAAAGGAACTAGTTTTTGACACAAAGGAGCTTACTTAATCAGTCAAATCGGCTGTTATAGTGATGACGTCACATTTCGAGATGTTTCGCGATTTTAGGCCTGGTGCCCCACCTTGGATTCGGTTGGTTCGATTTACATAGGATTTTCCATACGTAGAGTCCTTTTACACATCTCAATTCTGGTTGGGCTGAAAGTGGCCTTAAAAAAAATTCAATTCTGATTGGTTCTCGCTCATGGAATCACAAAAGAGTGCACCAAGATGTCGGTGGCTCAAATGTAAACAAAAATAATGAAAAAATGACCAAATTATGATTTATCAAGAGTATTGTTATTTTCTTCGCACCAAAGAGGAAATGTTTCATTTTGGTGCAATGCATGTGTAATCGAATTGAATAACGGTCATAAAAAATTGTTTCCTTCTAGATAAATGCTTAGAACTTTCAGAATAACTACTTATCAAGAACTGTTATATTTCAGGACACTTTTTGGCCAGTTTCAGTATGATTGAGGATGATTAATTTTTAAAAAATTAGTAAAAAACTTTAAGCTGCAAGGCTGATTACGCTAGAGTAAATTGCCAAAAAGTTCCTGTTTAAGCAAAGTAACTTTAGGTGTTACTAAATTAATTATAGGATGTGGTTCAGGAATGATATTTTGACTGAATGGGATGAAATAAAAACTTTTAATAAAGATTTGAACAGGGCTGATGGCACCTGCCCAGTTACCCCACGAAGGAGAAGTTTTCAACGTAACTGGGCATCAACCCTTCGCAGCCAGTGTTTTCATCCAATAATGTTGTAATTGCTCACGCATTACACAAATACATGATACATTAAGAGGAAATGTCCAAGTTAAATAAAATATTTCCTTGGAGTGAGATATGAGGCTCTTTCCGGGATCACCTTCGACGTTGCTTTGAGAAAAAAGCTGTTCCTTTTTTGGCACTTCACCCTTCACCCAAAAAATTTTTTTCGGAGGTTATGTATACATGTTCTAGATGGCTTACGTCATAATGAAGGTATACCAAGTGTAAAAACAATTTTAGCACTAATAGGCTAGAAATACGGAGGGTATCGCCCAGTTACTCGACCTCACCTCATAATAAACAGTGATTACTTTTGGAAATAGAAACTTTGCCGGAGCCCATGTTATCTGTCTCGGTAAATGTAAACATATCCTCAATTTTTTTCTCCAATTTATTTGTCTTCTACTTCTGTTTATTTAGTAACTTAGGAGTCTATCTATAGACACGAGTTTTTAAAACATGATTCTTTTATTGTCAGTAGATATCAGGGGGATTTTTGCACATCCATGCTCCGGCTTTCAAATTTTCAGGGATTAGGGTCGAGTAGAATCCGTTTCTGCCGATCCACTCGTCAGTTCCGTGAAAATTTGTCGCTACAACCGCTAAACCTTGGACCTATTGGTCTAGAGTTAGACGCGCTGACCGCTAGGTCATCCTAGAGTCCCTTGATGGTGAGAGTAAAGACAATGCGAATCCATTTCTGATTGGTTCCCGTGTTTTAGGTCTTCACAGTGTCACAAACGGGAATAAAGATTACATTTTCACCACTCGTAAAAATTATAAACTGAAATGGACCGGAAAATGGGGGGTGTGGCAAGGTACAAATGGAATGAGAGAGGGAACGAAGATGGGAATTCGGGAATGGGTCGATCAAAGATTACAAAAAACGTCCGATTTGTGTAATCTTTATTCCCGTCTATGACATCCATAAGCCGCGTTTTCTCAACTCTCTCTACAAAGGAACTAAAGGTGATCCTGGCCGGCCAACCTCAAACCTTGTTTTGGCGGTCACATCAGAAAAAAGTGCTGCCAAACTGTCTCTCTTTATACAGTAAGATGAGACCAAGCGACGGAGTTACAAAACACGGAAAAATTGCGAGCATAAAAATTGTACGGAGGTAAGACGCATACATTTCCGAAAGCTAGTAATATAAAGGAGTCCATCAATACATATTGTTGGGTCATTTGAAGGGGGAAAAAAATACTTCCTGGATTACCTATGTGTGGAATGACCCAAGTGCATCGCGCCTCCTTGAAAACATCCTGAATATACATTATCTTGATTTTGACGTGCGCTGTTTTCATTTTTATTTTGCTGGCCATGTTTCATGACACAATATCCTGACTAAGTATCCGAGTTACCATCTTTAGTTACATCACTTGACAACTCAAACAATGATTTTATGTTTAGCCTCAGATACGTACAATTTTTATTTATTGCTATATGGAACTCATGCTCGGTGGAAGTGCTAATAGAAAATTATTCTACTTAGATTTGAGGCATAAAACTTCACCCACTGATTTTAATTCACTTGTGTTTGTAGAGAAGTGTATGAAACTCACTACCCTAGTAGCAGTGGCTGTTGAGAAAAGTTGTTAAAAACTCGTCAATTTTAAGAGAACTTGAAATTTACTTCAAAACCACTTGAAAATTTCGTAAAAAAAAGAACTCTTGAAATATTCATGAAGAATAATATGCTCAGGATTAGCGAGGGAGTCAATAATCATGTTACTTTACCATAAGAAAGAGAACAATTTTATGAGCAAATTTATGATGCACTGAAAAAATCATTGAAATCACCTGAATAAGTGGAAAAAGTAGGAATAAAAGAATGAAAAAAAACCAGCTAAATCACACGAAAGAACATTCGCAAAGTTGCAGTGGAAACTGGCCTGATCTGGTCTGAAAAAACTGGAAGGAAAAGTGGGAGTGGAGTAAGACCTCTATATGAGAAAGGGTAGCGGATTGAGTAGGCGCAGAATGAGCAGGAAGAGGTGATGCAGTAGAAAGGGTAGTGAAGACGTCCAGCGTTAGGTTGTTACACATTACGCTAATGATTTTATATTATAGAATAAGTATGAAGTATGATAGAGTATGATATGATGTGATTTGTTTTTATACCCCTCTCTGCACACTCCAATTTTGAGGTTTCGAATTATTGATGTTCAGGATGTCAGGTCCGGATTCGCTTCCTTCTTACCATGTTTGATTTTTTTAATAGATTTCCTTCTTTCTTTTTTTAGATTTATGCCTTCTTCCATTCTTTCTTGTCAGTGGAGCCAATGGTTCAGGGAGATCAACCATACTTAAAAGTGTTGCGAAGTTTTTAGGGCTTCAGTATTTCAAAACTGATTGCTTATTCCTGCAGACCCCTACACCTGGCTATGCAGATGCTCAGCTGAAAAACCTGTTCTCAAAATTTAGCACTTGTGCTCCCTGTCTTGTTCATTTCGCCAATTTTGAGGCAAGCATAAAAAAATTTTCAGCGCACGTTACTTACTTTTTCAAAGATCAAGAACTGTCAGATCCCAAGTAACTAAGGGTCTGTCATTTTGAAAAAAAATAGCGAAACTTACGTCTTGAGCTAAACTTTTAGAATTTTCTACAAATCGACGGTGAAACTACCAAACCACGTATCTCGGTTTGCGACGTTGCAGACTTCCTGTCATACTTTATTTTTTAAATGAAAAACTACTTAACATCCAGTCTTGAAAATTTCTGTGATTTTTCCTCTTTGTGCAGAGAAAATTCCGTGAAAATTTCAAGGAATGATATTGATTTGGTCTACTTCAAAAAAATAAAATGTGAGCGTAGATTTTTAAACACCGCAAACGAGATACGTGGTTTGGTAGTTTCACCGTCGAAATGCATCTTAATATCTATTTTAGTGGTCGAAATACCGACCTCCTCTTAGTTTTGTCAGGACAGCTTATTATAGGTACTCTGCATAAAGTGTTGATTCTTATAATCTTTCAGAAAGGAAGGCATTTATAAGTCTGCTCAACGCATGCAGATTGATAATAAGAAACCCGCAACTTTCTTCTCTCTATGGATGCTTTAATTAAGATTTTTTACAATGTAGAAAATCTCTCTCTCTTCTTCCTTTAATACCAGGCTTGTTGAGATCATTCTCAGCCTTCAAAAATTAAAAAATTCATGAGAGGTTGCCTTGAAACCTTACAATCCCTGAAAATATGTCTCCTCCTAGTGCTACTCTGGAAGGAGCAAAATCAAAGATCCATGAGGAGAGTAAAATTAATTTTATATTTCAGGCACTGTGCGTCAACTCCAATGGGATGAAGGATGATCGTTTAGCCTCAAACTTCATCAATCAATTTAATGACCTGAAGAGTGAATGGCCAATTGTAATTTTTGCAACAGCACAAAACTCTGCCAGAATTTCTGGAACCATTGCTCGTTTATTTTTGGAGTCATTAGAAATGGAGGCCCTCGATCAATTTGAAAGAATGTCTGTCCTGTTTTGGACTGCAGAGTTGCAACAGATTGCTATTAATCCAGGATGTCTTCAAAATTTAGCCGAACGAACAACTGGATTCCTGTTCACTGATCTCATCAATCTCCTGGACCAAACTATTTTGTGAGTATCAATTTTGCCCTGTTTTAACTCCGTCCGAGAGTATGAAGTATTATGAGGTGTCAAAGGTCAAAACTTGTAAGCTGTGAAAAGGGTCGGGAAAAGTTTGCAACCTTTTATGGCCTTGTTTCCATGGAACATTTTCATGAGCTTTGTGCCAGGGAAAAGTCTTTCTCGCGAAGTTGGGAAAAATGTTGACCAACTTAGTATTTTTGACAGCAAGTACCAAGTATCTACGTTCATTATATTCCTTGTAGAGAACCAAGACCAACTGAGAGAGGAAGAAGAAGTGAGAGCAAACTGTGTGATATGTGTTAGGGTTGTTGTGTGGGAGAGCATATTGAATCGACTTGATATTGAACGAATGGATTCTTTATTCATAAACGACACAGAACAGTACAAGAGAAACGTAAAATCCTGAGAATTGGCGAATGACCTCGCGTAAAAGCACTCTCAAATGGAAAACCACATAACGAGGTGAAAAAAAATAAAATAAATGGCCGAGCAACGTGTATTCGGGGCTCCTCTTTCCTGCCAAAAAGCCTCGAATCCTTACTCCACTCTCTCACTTGACGTCGCCTCCCCTCCTCCCCCCCCTTTGATCAGCCGAGAAACCGCTATGCAATCCTCTGATCGGCCAGGGGAATTTCCGCAGTGGTGCCTCAAGAGAAGTGCCTCGGTGCACACAAATGAACTACCGCTAAGACACTTGTTTCAATTGATTGATGGGATAACAACCAGTCCTCAGTTCTTTTCAGGGCCTATTGTCAAAGCGTTGATGGAGTGCAAGTCATTAGGTATCGTCAATTTTTCTCCCGTTAAGACAGATAAAGTGCCGTACCTATCAGATGTAGAAATTAAGCAACTCTCCCCGGACCAAACGTATCTTAATGAGATGTATTTGCTGTCATTTCTGGAAACTGCTCAGAGGATCTGGCTAGAAGGGATCCTGGTTTAAAAGGTGAAAAGTTTAAATCCTGGTTTACTAAACCATGCAAGATGGTTGACCTTGGCCAATCGAATTTTACATTTGTACGCAGGAAGTTAAAGGCCGTCGAATGGTCTTAAAATTTTAGTTTCCTACATTGTAACCGTCTATGCGCCTGTTGGGTTGTGAATAAAACGGAATCCGAGGTGCGAAAATGGCGCTCAACATTTTTTTGAAGATTTTCAACTTTACAATAATGCACAGATTTTATGCTGCATTATTTGCCACATAAGAAACTGAAAGATATTCAACCCTGTATGTCGTTGAGAATCCTACTATAATGGATGACATAGAAGGATGCATGTCATTGAAAATCTTATGACATGTCGTTAGGAATTCTAGGATGATGAATGACTTTAAATAATGCATGTCCTCGGTCATCTCAGGGTAACGAATGACACTGAACGATGAATGTTGCTGGTAGTTCAAGGGGAGCATGTTTGCTACAGGAAACCCCACAACGATGAATTAAGTTTGACGTAGAAAATGTATAGCAAGGTATTGATTGACGCGCCTCATCTTCTCTGAATAACACTTACTCAGTAACTCTTCATTAATCACTGATGTAAAGTAGCTTGAGATTTTGACTGTGAGACCCTCAGTTTTGGGGGGATGGGGGCACACAATGTCTCTAATTTAAACTTAAGAAGTTATAATTATAAATCATGGCATTCAGATCTACTTCAATGATGCCGACAAATACAGCTAGATCACTAAAAAGTATGACAGAAAGTATTCAAGGATTTGAACCACATAAAATCAAAATTTTCAGGTAAGATAGGGCACAAGTATGTAACTCAGACTTGAGAGGGCATCAAACTTGCAGAGATGAAGTTTCATGATAACCATCAAAAGAAACTGTAAGAATAATTTATTGAGGTCTTTCTGTGTTGAAGGAGCATGCATTAAAGAATTATGGAAAAAGTGACTCACCAAATATAAAGTTCTTCTTTAAAAATTAAATCCTGAACAACTTGGTTTTACTGATTCAGATGTTTAGGTGTTTCTAACACTGCATGTACAATTTTCTTCTTTCTTTGAAAAAATTAAGATCTGGACAAATCAAACGTTGAAAATCACCTCTTATAATTATTTAAGTTATACTAAATCTTCCTTGATATCAATGTTGTCTTGAAGCACTACATGATGAATTTTGAGATGATTTGATGTTGCTGCTAACCCTCTACAAATACAGATTGCCCTGATTCCTCAGATATAGAATGGACAATCAGATCATAGAATAATAGCGGCTTGGAAATTCCAGAATACTTGGAAATAAATCTGGGTGCAGATGCTTGTCTGGAGTGAGGCCACTGAAAAATAGATGAAGAAAATGACATTACACATTAGCTATACACCTAAAGAGTCAAGCTATGTTTACGTCTTATATATCCACTCTGTCTTACAAATCAGGGGTTTTTATCATTTAAATACTGAACAGTTCAAAACTAACTCATAAAAATTCTGTGAAAATCACCATTTCCATTGATTTCTGAGAGACTCTGCAACCCCTTGAGGTATGTTATTGTGAACAAATCCTCCTTGCCCCATGAGGACCATCCAGCGGATGAAACCAAAATTAATTAGTGAATGAGTTAAGCTTATTTCACCCAAGATAGGTCTTAATGAACAAGGACAATTCCAACCCTGAGCAAAGATGAAAGGACCTAGTGGAGAAGAAGTGAGATGCAGCCTAAAACTCGCTGATTAAGTACATAAGTCTACAACTTATAAGCAAACTCACTGATTGAGTACATAAGTCTACAACTTATAAGCAAGTGGTACATAAGCCAAGTAAGATTTAAATAGACTACAATCACGGGAATTTTGGCTTAGGAAACTGAATGGTGTTCTTGCCGAAGTAGTAGTCTTAACTTCTGGAGGGCAACTGAGGATCAGCTATCCCCCACTTTCATGCAGAAATATTTTGAATTCAAACATAGCGCAAATTTGAACTGAATGGTAAACTTTCTTTCATCCCTCAATGAAATAACTAACTAAGAGATAAATACTTCGGTTTTATTTCTTGAACGAGTGGCCGAATTGAACACCTGTAAAGAAAATGAAAACGCAATAAGAAAATAGTGAAAACACTCACCCTAAAAAGTGGATTTCACACTCAATTCCATAGGCGGTCATGACTCACATCACAACACACAGCAACTCGGTCGAAAGACGCGCGCTGAGCGGAGTCTTAGGCTGCGGATCCGGATCCTGCTTGTCGAGAAGGCACATCCAGACTCCTGCATTTCTCTACAGCTCCAAATGCACCACACATGTGTCTAGGTGCGTTCGCCAACAACTCTCGATCCCGACTCATTAACGTTCAACCACTAGAGATGGTGGACGAACACTGCGAGAAGCGCGCTTAACATCTCAACCTACAATCTGCCGCTAGAGACTGTGAGGAGTGCACTTAGCAACTCCATTTTCAATCGACTGATACATTTTGTGAATAACGAGAATATTGGAGCGAGCTCCCGTACGGCTAACAGATCCAAATGACGGAGTTTAATCTTGCTAACTGGGGCTATATGTGATACCATTCCCGGAGAATCAAAATAAAATGCAAAAATGGCGCATCAGACATAAAATCTGTGCAGATAAATAAAATTCGCTTATGAATGGCTGCTCCTTGTCTCTGGGTTTTATCAGAGTGACTAACCGGAAAAGTATCATTTAATGCCTCTTCAGGATAATCATCTAGTCAAACGTTGGCCTCTGTTCCGTACGTTTGAACGATTAACTCTAGCAGGATCGCTGTCGCTCATTCGGAAGCAAGATTAGAAGCAGACTCGGGAACATATTTTAATGCATTTAATCTTTACTAAGATCAAATAGAGCACCCAAACAGCAAGTGAGGAAGTTTGAATCTACAGGAAATAAGAGTATGAAGAAAAAGTAGACAAAGAAATGCGAATTAGGAAAACGGTTTTCAAAAGGACAGCCCAAGTATTTTTTTTATATTTCTATCATGACTTATTTAGTCGACTAATTACTGACAGAAACACTCTAAAGAACCAATGACAATTTTTCAAATAGGAATAACATCAAATGTAGAATGGAGTATTGAAATTGATGACAAAAAAAAAATAAAGTAGGACTGTTAACAGTTTAGGTCAGGAAAACTAATATACTCAGGTAGCTGCATTAAAAGAAGAAATCCGGAGCAAACCGTACGAGTTTCCCTGGCTCCTAGTCTTATAGTATTGACTTTTCCCTTTAAGGGAGTCTCAAATCACTCCTAATCATGCATCATACCAGATTTCAAAGCATGAATCGAACCCATAAAATTTTTATGACTGTCTTGCCAAAGCTCTATTTTGTTGCATTTTTTTTTTTTTTTTGGTTGTTGTTTTCCTGGTGCATTTTCCTACTTCTTTGAATAACCCAGTCTAGGGTCAGTAGGATAGATTTTTATTGGACTTGGGTGCAGCATACTCCAATTCGTGGGAGGCACTCCAGCTAGAGGAAAAGAACTCGCGGTTAGAGGTTGAAAAAGTGATAACCGGCTCCACCCAATATTCAAGAGAAATTTTTGAAAACCTGATTGGCTCAATCCGACTCTAACTGTCAGATTGAGTCATATTCATTGCAGACTTGAAAATTTGCATGGCGGTCGTAATGTCATTCAAAGGTCTAGTTCGTGAAATTTTTCAAAACTCGAAAGTGGGTACTTTCTGAATTTCACCTATATGGTCTGCAAGACTGATAAATCCTCACATATTGACACCCAAAACAATTGAAACAAAACGCAAAAACAAAAACCGATCGCAACTAAATCTTGCTAGGAAGTTCCTGGAATGTCCTCTCAATTACCAATTTCCAGTTGTTAATTGCTAAAAATCATGCCAGAGTAAACCATACGAGTATCAATTGGATTGCATTTTGCAAAAGGGAACCACTAGCATTGCTATGATGCTAAGATTGTGCAACTTCATCCTTTGCAATAAAATTGCGGAAATTGTGAAAAACTATGAAATTTAGATGGTAATTTTTGTCTTAAATTTACAGTTTTTAGCGAGTAAAATAGAAACTATTAAGAGATAATCGGGTTTTTCCTCCAAGACAAAAGAAGTTGCACAATCTTAGCAACATTGCAATGCTAGTGGTTCCTTTTTGCAAAATGCAATCCAATTGGACTTCACTTTACAATTACGAACTATAATTTCTAGCTCATCAGTTAAAACACTTATGTACATCGAGAAACTAATAGTTCATGCGTTGTTTCTTAACTGAGCCAGTAATTTTAGTTCCAAATTGCAAAATGCAGTCCATTTCTCAATATATTTGTACCTATGTTTCTTATTTCCTTTCCGTTTTTGTTTTGCCTTATTTTTTTTAAATAATTTTAATCTACTTTTTGTTCTTTTCTCCCTTTTTTTTTTTTTTTTTTTTTTTTTTTGGGTTGCAGAAACTGGCACAAGACTAACTCCCTAATGAAACCACAAACTGGCTCTTTGGAATGGGAAAATTTTGAAGCAGTATTCAGTGAGTCATTGTAACTTGTATGATTCCTTACCAGTGACTTTTTTGACCCTTTTTCATTTGTTTATCCTCAACCTAACAATCCCTAGTAAAAAGAGTGGAACAGGGTGTCGTTTTTAAGCGACTATCAGAACTCTTTGATCATCAGTATCTCCCCCTTTCCATTTGGTATTTTCAGGATATTTGTGAGGTTTAAACGTTCTGTGCTGGCCTTAGGGCTTTTTACCAGTGCCAGCTCTTTTCCTCTTGTACCTCCTAGGAGAAGGGTGAAGTAGTGGGTGTGGTGTTGAACTTACCCAGCTCTGGTGAGCAGTGGTAGATCTAGAGACAGCTCGAGAGAAGGACATCTGGCGATTGCGAGTGGGGGGTCTGGGGTGTAACGGGGAAATTTTTCCCCCGTTTTAAGTTTAAGCCCATGTGTATTCAAAAATTGAGAAAAGAAGAAAATCGCGAGCGCGCATGCTTGGCACTGCTGCGGAGCGCACAAGCTTAGCGTCGCCGCGTCTCCACCGACGAGCTAAGGAGGAAAAAGAATATTTCGACGCCCGGAGTCCGCTCGAGTACCGTGACGCGCTAACAGGGAGCACTGCGGCGAATCTTATCATCGTTAAGTATTTTGCATTTTTTTTTTTTTTTGAAACTTCAAAACTTTTGTACCAAAATTCCAATCACATGAATCGCTAAACCAAATTAGGTCAAGGCCAAATGTGTAAATTTCATATTTTTATCGTAATAGTTCATCTTTACAATGATGAACGAAACTCGAGCCCTTTGTTTTTTTTTTAAATTTGTAATTTGCTGGCCTCCTAACCAGACCAAATCTTCAGGGGGAAGTTCCCATCCAGCAAACAGTCAAGCACAGAATCCAGTAATTTTTTTTCTGTCTATTTGATGTAATTGTGAAAATAATAAGGAGGTAACCAACTGGCCCGAAATACTTTCTTCCAAATCAGGATTTTCCCCAGTTTCTGCTGTTTTTGCTGGAATGCCTGCTTGGTAGATATCTATTAAAGCTAGATAATGAAGATAATTTTTCAACCTAGAATATTTTGCCCTTCCCTCAACGATGAAACATAATTTTTCCTGTCATATTTTTCATCAGAGAAAATTCAGTTGACTCATGCAAGCAGCATAGGAGCACCAAAAATCCCTGCTGTCTCATGGGATGATATCGGTGGACTTGGATGCCTGAAACAAGACATTTTGAAAATGTTATCTACTCTCCCAATCTCCAACAACCTTCGCCGTTCAGGTACTTAACTTCTTTCACTAAGACAGAAGTGGGAAAAAATTCAGAAATCTTCAATATTCAACCTTACACATCAATGGTGAAACTGCAGAAATACTCGTCTTGGTTGCAGTGTTTCAAAATATCAGCTTCTATTTAATCTTTCAATAGGAGACAAAACCATCATTGTGCCTTGACGTTTGCACAGCATATTCCTCTTGTAGAGAAGGAGGATTATCAAAGCCTCCATGAAATTATGTTTTATAGATTGCCATGTAGACAATGAAGTATGAAGGGAAGTATGCAATGCTGCAAACAAGATACGCATTTCTGCATCTGCAGTTTTACCATCGATTTGCATATTGTATAGGATGTCCTCGACATCCTGTGCCAGGTTTTTTTCTCCATTTTTTTAGGCTAGATTATGTCAGAGACTTCAGGGACATTAAGGGAATTGACTTCAAGGAATCCAAATTTCACGTTCTTGAAGCCCCCTGTCCTCTCTCAGGGGTATAAGGAGGGTCATGACTTTGAAAGTTGGGCTTCCTGTCAAAATTTTGAAATTCTCCTATTAAATGCAGAAAGGGCGGAAAATTTTACCTCAAATCAATAGCAAAAAATCTGAAAGCGGCCTCTTCCTGTTCGAAATATTGACCCCCCCCCCCAATAGAAGATGTTGGACAGAGCCTTCCTCTCCGAAATTCAGTATTGCTTAATTTACGTGGAGGCTTAGGAAAAAGACGTTCGTGAAAATAACCGACCTCCAGGAATCCGAATTTTTCAGTTGTGAAGCTCCTCAAACATTTGTTGATGCGTTTCAAGGCGGCCCTAATCTTAGAAATTTTACAAAATTACAGCCCTGTATCCCATCAGCAAATGTTTAGGGGGCTTCAGGGCTGTCAAATTCGGATCTCTGGTGGTCGATTTTTTTAAATTAATATGTTTTTCCTGAGTCTCAACAATTTCTATAAATATGAATGCATTATTTTTGTTTGCTTGTTGCGTCCGTATATACTAATTCATCGACGAGGAAGGTATTTTTTTAAGTGCAGCAATGGCACCCTGGTCCATTGGCTAACAGTCAGTAGTTGTAGGCAAAAAAACGATGTTATATCAACACTGTGCAGTCTGTCAGTTCTAAGATTCACCTTAGTTCAAAATCAATTTCGATAATCCAGAGTTGGGATAACACCGTTAATTTGTTCAAATAATCTGGAATCTTTTGTACATTAATGCCTTGTAATTGGGATTATTCCCATTGAATCTCAATAAATTAATAAATTCTGTTGAATTTTTCTGATAAAATGGCAAACTAAAATAATGTTCAACATACTTGAAGTTCTGCAGAAAATGGGGGGGGGGAGGAGACATTTTATACTAATATCAAAATTCAGGTTTTTTTTTTTTAAAAAAAAAATAATATCTCAAATTTTTTGGCAATCTTAAAAATATGAGCAATGTTGCAATTGTATTTTAAAGAGTCAGCCGTGGTTCTAGGAACTTGGTAAAACGGTGATAATATCAGAAACAGTTCAATTTTTGCACCTGGTTTTCTCAAAAACCAAGGGAATTAAATTGTTTGATGACTGACAATTTTTTTTGTAGGTCTACTCCTTCACGGCCCACCAGGAACTGGAAAGACACTAATTGCCAAAGCAATCGCTACTGAGTGTAATTCCAACTTCTTATCAGTGAAGGGCCCTGAACTGTTAAATATGTACGTGGGACAAAGTGAGCAAAATGTCAGAGAAAGTGAGTTTAACTATTCATTAATTTATGTCTTTCTTTGATGTACAAAGTGCTTGGAGGACAAGGTACGTAAGTGCAGTTTTTGAAAGAAAAGAGATTTTAATTATTTTAAGTGAAACTACTTAGTCTTGAAATATAGTCTGTGAAAATTTCACTACGAAAATCCAATTTTTAAGAATCAAAAAGTGAGTTTCAACTTTTTTCCGCCATGATGCTCCATGTAATTAGGAAATATTTTAAACACATATTTCTTGAAATTGCAAAAACTGTACTTACCTCTGTTGTTCTTCAATCCCCTCATTTCTGATATGTCAAAGAAAGTATAGGAAGTTTATTAGGAACAGCCTTTTCAACAGACAAAAACGTTTGCATGTGTTTTATTGTCCTGAAAATCCCAAAAGTTTAAATTTCTCCATCAATATTGAAGGTACGACCAAGGTGTGTCGTCACATTACTTTCCACTAGTGTGTCCATTATGATGTCTTGATCATTGTGCTGTTCTATTTCTACTTATTCATAAACGTTATTTTTCGTCCTTTTTTGTGTACTCTGGCAACATCCATTTCACAACTCTTGCGGCTTGTGTTTTGTTTCCATCAGATAGTTTGATATTGAAGTAACAAACAACAATGGAAACAAGAAGAGGGGCATCCTGGATATCCTAATGACCAAAAAGACTGAAAAGATTTGAAAACAACTTAATAACACCTAAGTTGTAGACAAAATGGAGTGGATTTCCATTCCATCAAATAACATGCTTGATACTTCTACCATCTTAATTGAGATGGAGGTTTAGTAGCAAGAGTAATCCCTGTCCACAAAAGCGGCAAAAAAATTAAGCTACGAAACTAAGACCCTATCTCTACAATATTACCAAACATCTGAAAAATCTTTGGGAAAGTCATAATGAAGCAAATTTACAATTTAAATTATTTCCTGAGACTCCTCACGAATTCAGAAGAGTGAAGAACTTTAAGTGCACCTGGCAGTGTACAGAATGATGAAGGGCATTGTTGGAGTAAAGAAACTAAATAGGGAAACATTTAAGGTGCAAGATTGACTCCACATTGACCTGGCAAGCACCTTTCATGTTCAATCAAAAAAAAAAAAAAAAAAAAAAAGAATTGGGCTCTGGTTGGTATCTGGGAAAAAAGCAATTCCAGTAAAATATTTCCCGAAGAAAATGGGACACATATCAGGAATAAAAAAGCTAAATAAACCATACAAATCCCAAAAATATGAATTAAAACATGTGTAGCTCGAGGTCCAATTCTTTGCCTGTCAGTGTTTCTTGTACATATTAATGATCTATAAGGAACTTTGGTCAAATTAGGCATCGAAGTATTGGTAATGTTTGCTGATGATGTCAATATTTTATTATTTGGTGAAAACATACTTAAATACCGGCGCTTCGCGCCGGCATGTGAGGGGGCTTCGCCCCCCCTTCATGGTGCGAGGATCGTACAAGACTTTCCCACTGAAGCCACTGCTCCGCGCCAGCACAGGCTCTTTTACTGTAATATTTAGAAAAATACTGCCACTTTCACAAAATCATAAAGTTCGATGGGAATTTTGATCCAACAATAAGAGTTGTGAAATTTTCATGCAAACCACTAAACTTTATCGTAAATCTCTTCACGATATGTGATGAATTCATATATTCAGAATCGACTTGTCGATATTATGAGGCATGTACAATTAAATAATTGATAAATGATGCCATCTAGTAAAGACGGTGATCCTAAAAACCTTAGCTTTTCTACGATTTATTAGGATCTATTTGATTCATTGACATCATACCCTAGATGTGATTATATTTATATTATAATCTTTCCCTAAGCACGGTAAAGAGCTATCAAAATCCTACCTTAATGGGTAGAATCACTATTCGATGTTTAAATAGTCTTAAAGTAAAACGGGTGAAGGCGAGCATTGATCCCAGGACTTCAAGTTGGCAGTCGATGGCCCTATCCACTCGGACATTGGGAAATGCTGGAAATGACGACGGAAATCAACAACATAGGAGATTGTTGGTTGTCTGCTAGAGAGCTCTTTCACTCTCCCTGCTGGAAATAGTTCACCATCCGCCCGCTGAGAGCGCCACCGCCTTCGCTCGTATCATATTGTTGTATCCCCGTGTGAACAAACAATAACAAATGTGGACTATGATAAACAAATGCGCTTTCATGAAATGATTAGTCATTAAATTTAAATCAATCATGTTCGTGCAGTATTATTATACTAGGGGACTATGCCCCCTGGCCGCTACGTGGCCCAACACCCAGAAGGCGCTTCGCGCTCCATTAGGCCCGCTTAACCAGAAGAACGACCAAAAAATGAAAAGATTTTCATACTTGACCATCTCGTTTGTCCCTCTGGCCGAGAGCGATTGAACCAATAAGAATCGAATAAAAAAAATTGGCATTCATTCCAAACTTCTAGCAAAGACTGAAACGAAACGGAACAAAGCGTTCCATCGCTTCTGAATAGTCTGCACCAAAGGAGCATACCTTCTATTCACCTACCTTACCCTACTAACAGACCAAGATTCTGCATTTCCCGCTTAGTTAAATTTTCCGCTAAAGGAATTTCCGCCATTTCTTATTGGCGGGAATTTCAACTGTTGCCCCCTTTTTTAAGCTTCCTGGTCTTATCTTATACAAAAAAAACTAGGTCCTATTTCCAAAATCTGATTAAAGCAGGCTCATTTTAGACCTATCACCTGTCGATAACCGCAAAAGTCATAGATATCGGCCTAGTAGAACGCTCAAACGAACTATGACAAAAAATATGAATTTACATTGTTTAAAAGGGAAAATTCGCAACTTTACCATGTAATATAAAAAAACCTTGGTCATATTTTAAAAATCTAAACGAAGCGGGCTCATCTAGAGACGATTTTCCGTCGATAACCGCAAAAATCATGAAAATCGGCCCGGTAGAACGCTGGAACTTAGCGTTACCAGCTATGCAAAAAAAGGAGGCCTTGGAGCTTATAGTATAGATTTGTGTTCAGTACCTAGTACAGAGGCACCGCGAAAGATGGAATCTGCCGGGAATATTAAGTTCATCAACAACAAACATATTAGTTTCTAATAAAGATCTAAGTGTCAGTTCTTGTGTTAGCTTCGATGATTCATAGTATGTAAGTACCTAATTAGTCGTCTAATTTTGCTTGGTGTGTACCTATGGAGTAATTTTGGAGATAGTATATGATGCATCATATAATGCATTTGAAATCCTAGGTTTCACCTGACTCAAAGCACTTGCTGCTAATTCCGAGGAGTCTCCCGTTTCATCGAGCATTCAGCCCTCAATGGTGATTTGCCATGGACCCCTCTTCAATCAGGTATTAGATTAGTCCAAAGATCTTTTAGGAACTTAAATTAATGACCCAGGTGGTGCTTTGTGCCAACTTGTATACCATTAAACGCCTTTTTACAAAATCTACTGCCCCTCTCAGTGAGCTCTTCGTGTGATCAAAGTGCCCTCGCTCTATGACGCGTTACCAGCTGATGGCCGTTGCCGTCCCGGTATTCGGTGGGCCCCTTTCATGAGGGGCGTTTTGGTGACCCTCATGATGGGGGCACTGTAGCGACTTTTTCCTCTCCTCATCAAGAAAAAAAAAAAAAAATACCTAGTCTGAGCGCTTAAAGCATCTACACTGTAAGCTCCAAGGCCTCCTTTTTTTGCATAGGTAACTGGTAACGCTAAGTTCCAGCGTTCTACCGGGCCGATTTTCATGATTTTTGCGGCTATTGACGGACAGTAGTCTCAAGATGAGCCCGCTCTATTCAGATATTCAAAATATGATCCAGGTTTTTTTAATATTACGTGGTAAAGTTGCGAATTTTCCTATTTAAACATTGTAAAATGTTCTTTGTCATAGTTCGTTTGAGCGCTCTATCGGGCCGATTTCCATGATTTTTGCAGTAGTCGACAGGTGATAGGCCCTAGATGAGCCCGCTCTAATCAGATTTTGGAAATAGGACCCAGGTTTTTTTACAGTCAAGTTATTAAAGAATGCGAATTTACAGAATGCTCCGTCCCTGCTACTGCTATGCGCAGAAGGTTGCGCAGTGGCCAAGTAGCCTGCGCATCAGCTCTACTTATCAACACAAAATTTGCCCCCTGCACATTAAGATGAGCAGTGGCTGAGTCGTCTAAGATGTCGGAAGCGCCCACCCCATATATCCCTAGATGAGGGTTTGATTCCTGACTTCTCAGCTATTTTATTATGACTTGATTATTCGTTGTCTTACTGCTATATTTCATTAATCAGTCATTGCAAAACGTGTCCTTTTGACTTCAATTTTTTTTTCTTTTTTCATCAAAAACAAAAATCATTTCATTCTAAAAGTAAAGTATACCTCATATCGTAATTTTTAGGGGAAAAATAAAACGAACATTGATAGGAGGCTAAAAATAGGGCTGCAAAGTGGTCTATTGATGGCGCGGAGCGCCTACGCCTCCTGGTACAAGATAACGGTGACATGTAGATGTTAAATAGAAGAAGCGATAGAGAGTTTCCTTGGTATATTCCCCTTTTTATTGCTATAAGCTCCGTTGATATTAATTCCCCATCTATGCTCACATAAAGTCGGGTGGCCCAAGTATGCATCATGCTTGCAAGGGCACTCCCCACTTTTTGGCTGGCCCCTATCATTCGTAAAGATTTTAAAATCCAGGAATGTGGTACACTGTCAAAAGCTTTTTTGTAATCAATCCATGCCATTTATAGGTTTCGTTTTTTTTTTTAACTATCGACAACGATCCATCTTGATATTAGCAGCTGGTCGTGGCATCCTCTTGCTCCCTTTCGACAGCCCTTTTGCTTTATCGGTAATGCTCCTGTTCTATCTACAAATAGGTAGATCCTTTCAGCCAGCATACCTTTACACAGCTTGTACAATGTGCTCAGACAAGTGATGGGTCTATTATTATATTATTCTTTATTGTATTATGTATTATTATTAATTGACTTTTGGAATAACCCTCCCATGTGTTCCACAAGAATCGAAGTCACAATTTTTGCTCCTAATTTTTGCTTTCTCTTTCCGCAGTCTTTTCCAAAGCAAGATCAGCTTCACCTTGTGTTGTGTTTTTTGATGAGTTGGATTCTTTGGCTCCAAATCGTGGCAAGAATGGTGATTCAGGCGGTGTTGTGGACAGGTACTAGAATATTGGAGTTTTACATTTCATCAGGCAGACTAGTTCAGATAAATTGAATTTGTGGCATAAAATAAGGAAATTCAAAAGCATTATTGTCCTTTGTACTAGGAAACATTAGGTAGGGTGGCCCAAATTTGGCAATGTCGGAATTTTTTTGGTCTTACCCCCTAGAATTGTTCCATTTGATCAAAAAACACTCTCTGCCAAGTTTCAGCCCAATCGGATAATATTAACCCGTGCCGACGGAGCCATCTTTTTTATATGGGATTTTACATTGGAAAACACTTTTTTCCAAAAAAATCCAATTTTCGAAAAATGTGTAATTTATAGAAAAATCTGAGGTCATATTCGGCTCCAGCAGGAAAAATTGAGTGGGAAAACATGTATTGGAAACTTCAAAAAAAAATTTTTACCCCTCGTTATAGCGGCGAAACAACTGAAACATCCAGAAAACGCTAAAAAAGGATGAAATGACGGTGGTAAATTCGAAATAATTACGAACGTCTGCATCCGAAAACAAAGCTCAACATATGGTAGATGATTCCTATGTACTTTTATTCGCTGCGTCCAAAAATGCTATCCATTTTTCTCTATTGCATCAGGATTTTCCGGAAAATCGATTTTCTTGTATAAAAAGAGGGTTTTCCGGGGAAAACTCAATTTTCAGGAAATATACCTCAACATGTGACGGATGTTTTTTATGTGTTATGTCAAAGTTGCTTCATTACATCGGGCTTTTCCGGAAAACCGATTTTCTTGTATAAAAAGAGGGTTTTCCAGGGAAAACTCAATTTTCAGGAAATAAACCTCAACATGTGACGGATGTTTTTTATGTGTTTTTCAACGCTGAGTCCGAAAATTATGTCAAAGTTGCTCCATTACATCGGGCTTTTCCGGAAAATCGATTTACCGGGTTTTCCCTGGAAAATTACCTTTTTTACAGGAAAAATTTAGTCCCTCAGAACCTCTCAGTGGAATAGAGGGAAACGGTTATGATTTTCGAGTTCACCGTGAAACAACACATCAAAAACCTCTATTACAAGTCGATCATTCATTTCCTAACAATTAAGTTTTCCCCGGAAAACCCTTTTCTACGTGAAAATCGGTTTTCCGGAAAAGCCCGATGTAATGGAGCAACTTTGACATAATTTTCGGACTCAGCGTTGAAAAACACAAAAAACCATCCGTCACATGTTGAGGTTTATTTCCTGAAAATTGAGTTTTCCCCGGAAAACCCTCTTTTTATACAAGAAAATCGATTTTCCGGAAAATCCTGATGCAATAGAGAAAAATGGATAGCATTTTTGGACGCAGCGAATAAAAGTACATAGGAATCATCTACCATATGTTGAGCTTTGTTTTCGGATGCAGACGTTCGTAATTATTTCGAATTTATCACCGTCATTTTATCCTTTCTTAGCGCTTTCTAGATGTTTCAGTTGTTTCGCCGCTATAACGAGGGGTAAAAAATTTTTTTTGAAGTTTCCAATACATGTTTACCCAATCAATTTTTCCTGCTGAAGCCGAATATGACCTCAGATGTTTTCTAGAAATTGCACATTTTTCGAAAATTGGATTTTTCTGGAAAAAAGTATTTTCCAATGTAAAATCCCCTATAAAAAAGATGGCTCTGTCGGCACGGGTTAATATTATCTAATTGGGCTGAAACTTGGCAGAGAGTGTTTTTTTATCAAATGGAACAGTTCTAGGGGGTAGGACCAAAAAATTCGCAAAATAAATCTTGCTGTGTATAATTGGGCCACCCTAAGGAAACATTTAGAATCAAAATCTGTAATCAATGAGAGGCGAAGCACTTTCTTGAGGTAAAAGCAACAAAACATACAATAGACTGACTGAATGAAACATTCTCTGTCAGGATGAGATCAGGGACGATGTAAACAAATCTGACGACAAAACTGAGGATCAGCATGGTACCAACCCATGAAAAAAGTGAATGTATCTGAAAGTATGCACCACACTGCGCTTTGTCCTGGCAACAAGTCCTCTTCAAACTTTCCCTCTTTCTTTGTCACCAGAGAATTGCATAATTTAACACTTTCAATGAAAGGAAGCTTGAACGTGTTGCGCTTTGAACTATGGAAAAATATTCCTCAAACTTACTCCAAGTATCTTGGGGGGGATAAAATATGGGAATATATGCAGGAAAAATAAAAATAAGATAAAAAACCTAGCTAGAAAAAATCATAGCAAATTGACAGTGTGCATCTCGCAAACGCAACTGCAAGCCAAGCAACCAAAAGAGTCAGGCAGAGATTCCTTTTTAGCTTGCCCAAGGGTATACTGCCCTGCTCATACTCAGACGTTTTCTCCCACGTTAAAGCAATTCCTAGGGACCGTCTTTTAGCGCATGAAACTTTGGATGAAAGAAAATAACCTTGAGAGGGAGAAATAGAAAACGAATCAGCGCTATAGCTGCAACAGCATCTTTAGAGAGAACTAAAGAGAATTTTAGAGCACTTTAAAGAATCCAAAAAAAACTGAAACAGAATCGACCTACATTTTACCTGCAAGAACAGAATCAGCAATTTTGGAACATGGTTAAGGAATCCCTTTGCTAGTGGTTAGCAATGTTTTCTGTTGTGGTCAGTGCTTTAAACTTGTCGCTGCTAGTATCAAGGCACTCGAGATTTTGAGAGATAAGGTACCCAGCAGAGTTTCCAGGGGTCGAATTTTGTCGGTCCTCTCCACCAGCCTCGAATATACTTAGAAGGAGTTTCGACCGCACTTACATCCGGCTTAGCGCTTCTGATTGGTCGGTGGTGCGGTTTGGACTCATTGATGAATGCTGCTTCTTTGAGTGAAAGAGCCGACAAAATTCGGTCCTAGAGTAGCAGCCGCTTCATGAGATGTGATGACAGTTGGCGGCGTAGCCTAGTTTTTCTCCTCATCATCATCCTTTCCAGCCTCATTTGGCTTTAGATGACTTCAGCATTAGTGAGAGTGCCCCATATATCAACGCTGTCATCAACAATAACGACCGTCCCGATTTTACAGATAGGTAAACGAGTATGAAAGTGGTGTGTAAGTTCCATCAAAAACAACCGATGTGGGTTTTCGAATTACAGAGCATATCATCCAATCACTTCAAATTGAAAAGCGTTGGGTCCATTTCCTTCAAGTTATCATTTTTTTTTTTAACTTGGAAGAGGGAACACTTCCGGTACAAGTATTACGGACGGGCCACAGGCCAACGTCGGTAGTATACACTATCTTGCTTGAATGAAAAGTACATTTTATTTTAAAGTAAAATTAAAAAATTAAAAAAAAATACATTTTAAAGTAAAATAAAAAAATTAATCAATATCAAGAAATGACCTGACAATACTTTACGTGCTTATGACGACGGACTTCTGCATTGAATGAAGCAGGTAACTCTCTATCCCAAGTTCTGGAAGATGTTAAACTAAACTTTTTGGAACCATCCCCGTTACTGACATTATAAGGGGCTTGATGCAAACAATTTTCAGGTTCCATAACCGCTTCATTTTCGCAGCTAAGGGCAGATATTTCGCCATCTTTTTTTGATACTTCAGCTCCAAGTTATGATTATTAGGGATGCTAATATCGATGATGTAAGCGGTGCGATCTCGCTTGTCAACAAGCACTATGTCCGGCCTGTTAGCCATGATGGCTTTATCAGTAAAGATCGGGGTGTCCCAATAAAGCCCGAAGTGCTGATTCTCCAGGGCTGTGGCAGGGCTATATTTGTAGTAGGGTTCAGCAGTTTCACAGAGTTCTCGATCCTTGGCCAGCGCTGGGTGTATAATTTTAGCCTTGTTATTATGCCGCTCAGTATATTCCTTTCCTGCAAGCAATGTGCAACCAGATGTAATGTGATCTATTGTCTCCAATGCAGCGTTACTTTTTCGACACTTATCTCTCTCGACCTTCTCCTTCAGTATATACCTCTCGTAATTTCTGGTACTAATAACTTGGTCTTGCATTTCGAGAACAAACCCTTCCGTTTCTAGATACAGCTGGATTATTATTATTATTATTATGTATTTTCCTCACAAAAATAAATAATTTTTGGATTTAAACCGATTGAAAGACTTGGCCATGGCCCGTCTTTCAAACTTAGAGTCTTTTAAAATTGCTAAAATTTGAGAGTTCATAAACTTTTTAAAAAGAGTTGTCAAAATTTTAAAAAGATTGATAAAGTAAAAGAGTTGTTAAAAATTTAAAACGATTATGAAAGTATAAGAGTTGTTTAAAAAAATGTAAGCTAAATAAACTACGATATTAGCAGTCGGTCACATAATTAAAAATAATAATACAGTCACTGCCCTGAGCTTAGGTTTGATCTAGTGGTATTATAGGTGTGCAGGATCACAGCTTTCTTGCTTTGGGTGTGAACGTTTTCACTTAGGTGAAGCTGCTTCAGATGTCTTAGGAAAGAATAAGGAGTGACCCCCGTGACGGATTTTATAAATGGTACTATAATTACTTCTTTAAGCTTCCACAGTCGCTGTATTTCAGTTGCTAAGGGCAGATACTTTCCGATCTTATCCCTATACTTAGCATATACGTTGGCATCAGCAGGGACTGAGATATCCAGGTGCACAATGCTCTGCTTTTCACCCAGAAGGACCATATCAGGAATGTACTCTTCTCATAAACAATAAGAGGAAGCTCTTCACGTTCAACCCAAGTAGCATTTCTTAACGGAAAAATCGCTATATATTGCAATTTTATTGGCGACAAAATCGCTAGGATCATCAACATCTGAGCAGTTATTCTCGATCTTATCGGGATAAAATCGCGATTTAATCGCCCGTCAATTTATCGCGATATTTTCGAAATTAGAATCGCGATAAATGGCGATTTAATCTCGATTTTATCGACGAAAATTGATCGTGATTTTATCGAATCAAAAACTGCTTTGTGTAGCGATTTAATTGCCATATATCGCAATTTTTAATGCGATACTATCTCGATATGTTGCCAACGATCTAATTACGATAACCAACCGATAAAATCTCTAATTAAACATCTAAAAAAAAAAAAAAAAAAAAAATCGATAAAATCTCTATTTATCGCAATCACTGCTACTTGGGAATAGGGATGTAGTGAACTCTGGACATAGAAACAAAAATAACATCAAATTGCCAATAACAGGAGATCCCCATGTGTTCGAGGAAGGACCAAAAGCAGAATGCATCGGAGCCTTCAATCATCTGCCTAAAGAACTAAAAGCAATAAAAGATCAAAACATTTTTAGAGACAGAGCTCAAGGAAAAGGTTTTTTTTAATAAAATAGAGGAATTTTTCGAGCAAAACGTTTAAATGTAGCCTTTAATTTGTTGTATTTTAAATGTAATCATTGTTTCATTTGAAATAAGTTGTACGCGTATACTTTGTAATAAGTGAGAGAAAAAAACACTAAAGAGTGGCCAGAACTGTATGAAATAAGGTGGAGAAATGGTGCTGGGTCCACACCATTTCGCGGGGAATTCAAAGCCAAGAAGTTCCAAAAATTATAATTAGAGTCAAAACTAATTTTTTTTTAACTCTAATGAGTACCAGTACAAAACTGAGGAGGGAGAATGTTCAGCTCAGGCAGTTTGCATTGGAATATCAAGTTGGAGCCACGCCGAGAGATCTATACCAGTTTGCACATTTTTTAGACCTCATTAGCAGATCACACTTGTCAGTGGACCCAACGTGTCATGCCGCAAAATCCAAGACGGCGTTAAAACGCTGTCATGGATATAACCCGAGGTATGACACAAAAGTGTGATCCTCGCACCATCTAGGTACCGTCACTGCTGAACAACTCTCATAACAAAACAAGGAAAACCCGAAAAAAAGGGAAGACCCAAGACCCAAACCAGTATAGATCTCTCGGCGGGGCTTCAACTTAATTTTCCAATGCAAACTGCATGAGCTGAACACTCACCCCCCCCCCCCCCCCCCCTTCAGTCTTGTACTGGTACTCATTAGAGTTAAAACAAATTTATTTTTGACTCTAATTATAATTTCTGGAACTTCGTGGCTTTGATTTCCCTGCGAAATAGTGTGGACCCACTACCATTTCTCCACCTTTATAATAAGTAAAAGTAGTTTTTAAGTAGTTTATTGTCACCTTAAAAAACTACGGGGAACTGAGCACCTGGCGGTCGGTATTTGCGAACGCCTCACAACCCGCAGATAGAACTTAACCTAGGCAGGAAGGCATAGTGCCAACCTATACACTAATTCACCATTGAGATTGGCGTTGCCAACCTTGGATGATTTTCTGAAACAACACTAGGGACGCCCCTTACAGCGCAACGTAGTGTAGGGTGTCCCTTATTTTTGAAATTTGAGAAAAGTTAAGCTCTCAGGTCTCAAAACGTGCTATAAGGTGTACAAATAAGGAATGTTTTTTGGAAAAAATTTTAAAAAAATTTTGAGTACTCTCTCAAGCGCCCTAAAGGGCGTCAGTCGAACATGTTCATTTCTGGTAGAGTGGATAGTCAATCCTAGGTGAAATTGACGAATTAACGCGTGTAAGGCAAAAATTTGGTCCGTTTGGTCGTATCTTTGATGGCTCAGCCGGGAACCGACTTAAATGGGCGGGAAGTCGAGCCGCAGCCGCGCGCGGCGCGCGGCCGACCGAGACAAGCTTTGCATCGCGCGGTCGCCGGCCGCGCGCGGCGACGCGCGTGGTTTGTGAGTGAGGAACATGTACTCATTCACAGCTAAACGTAATGCAGAAAGCAACGATGGGGAGGCTGCAAAAAAAGACGAAAAAAAGAAACGGGGCGTTTCGTAATATTAACTTCTCATGCTCAACTGGAAACAAAGAAAAATAAAAATATAAATAAATGAATTAATAAATAACTAAATGAAAATAAAAGGCTAAACACGAGTTGTTGATTCGCTGTTATTGCGAGACGGAGACTCAATGTTGTTCTTTAGAGGGAGGATAATTAAAATTCTGATAAGGCTCTTAAAAATTAATATAAATTGTGCAATGTTTAAAAACGTCTTCGGCATGAAACTAGTTAAGCGTACCATCGTCCAACTTGCGAAGTAACATATTTTTGGCAACAATAGCAATATTAGGTAGTTTAACAAAAGTCAAAGCTTATCAAAATTTTTCGATGTCATTAGCTAGAGTTTTTTTTGGATATTTCATGAACATTGTTTTTGAAGTGAGACGATACTTGTAGTAAATCTTGAAATCTTGCTCACTTTCAACTTTCTTATTAAATTTTTGCATCAATTTGACGGCCCTTTCAGTATGGTCCTTCACAACTTCATTTAATAAGGCTCGGTGGATGAATAAGGCGATTCACGCTCTGAAGATCTGGATGTTTAGAAATTAGTTCCCCCTTACAGGAGAGAAACAAAAAGGAGGTCTTCACGTTAATATTTTTTATTGTTAAGGTGTATATAAAATGTCCGTTTCGTTCTTCCCATTCTGCTGGCGCTACCAAAAATGACAAATTTATTTATATTTTTATTTTTCTTTGTTTCCAGTTGAGCATGAGAAGTTAATATTACGAAACGCCCTGTTTCTTTTTTTCGTCTTTTTTTGCAGCCTCCCCATCGTTGCTTCCTGAACTACGTTCAGCTGTGTATGAGTACATGTTCCTCACTCACAACCCATGCGCGTCGCCGCGCGATGTAAAGCTTGTCTCGGTCAGCCGCGCGCGGCCGCGGCTCGACTTCCCGCCCATTTAAGTCGGTTTTCCGGCTGAACGATCAAAGATACGACCTAACGGCCCAAATTTTTGTCTTACAGGCGTTAATTCGTCAATTTCACCTAGGATTGACTATCCACTCTACCAGAAATGAATTTTCGACTGACGCCCTTTAGGGCGCTTGAGAGAGTCCTAAATATTTTTTTAAAATTTTTTCCAAAAAACATTCCTTATTTGTACACCTCATAGCACGTTTTGAGACCTGGGGAGCTTAACTTTTCTCAAATTTCAAAAATAAGGGACACCCTAACGTAGTGGCGAATCTCGTCCCTAGATCACATAGAATTACCTAAACATCAAGTATTAGCCATTTTCACAACGTAAGCCTCTCCAAAAGAATTGATTTCTTATTTTTCTCTTGCTATGAACCCATCTCTATTTTTTTGCAGAGTTGTGTCACAATTTCTGGCTGAAATGGATGAAGTGCAGAAATCAGATGGAATTTTTGTACTTGCAGCAACTAATCGACCAGATTTGATTGATCCTGCATTACTACGTCCCGGAAGGTATGCAACCTGATCTAACACATTTTCACTGAACCTGTAGTTTCGGTCTTAATTCGATATTTTAGAGGAGGAGGACTAATTGGAGTTTCCCAGCAGATGACAAGTTTTCATGTCTCAGTGACGAATAATAATGTCAGAAAGCTTTTCAACAGGAAGGAAAATATGAAAAATAGGTCTCACTTGTTTCAGTTTGAATCAGATCAGACACTGGATTTATGCTGATTTCTACAAATTGACATAAACTGTGTATTTAGTGTCATCAATGATCAAAAAGAGTCATTACGAAATGTGAACAGCATTCTGTGCAAATGCTGAGCTCAATGCTGTCTAATTGAATTACATTTTGCTATAAGAAGGTACTATGTCTGACTCATTTTCAAAAATAACATATGTGCCATCGGTCTCCCTTTGTAGGTATGTGATCCTAAAGATTAGCCAAAAATAGTCGTTCTATATGTACTTATTTCAAATTTTGGTCCATAGCTCCTTACGTACCTCGTTTACCATTTACCCATATTCCCCTTTACCAAACCCTAACTAACAGAGTGCCAGGAACTAACAGGATGTGAGGTGGACCTAGGAAACACTGGGCATTCGAAGCCTGTATCAGGAATTTTTTACTAAATTGCGTATGAGAGTGGTTGCATTGAGCTGCTAGGCACGCAGATCCGTTGGTTAGGCAGGAGAGCAGTGATCTTGTGGTGATGTAGGAGGGGCTCAGGGGAAGTTTGTGCACTATTTCTGAAGTTCATGATTTCCGAAAATCATCGAAGCATCAATAATGTTGATTGCTGAATTATAACAGTAATATGCAGTTCCTCAGGTTTGCAGAAAACACCTCCACACGCATAAGTGGTTTTCACAGGATGGTCCCCTATTCCTGCCCCTTTCCTCTAGTTTTCCTGTCATTTATAGTTAACTTGAACAAAAATCTCCATAAGTTGTACGGAAGGTCACACAATTTTATTTCGGTCAATTGGGATACAGCTTTGTGACTTGAACTATAAAAATCCTGAGGAGGGGAGGGTTCTTAAAGAATCTCCTTTTTCGAGCTTTTGGCTGCTTCTCCAAAATTTCTCTTCAGTGAGTGATGAGAATTATTCAGACTGGGGGTGTGTCTTCAATTATTGACGGCACATAACTAGCTTTGTAAGTCTATATTATTCTGTGGTTACCTATTGCCCATTCTCTTCTTCCAGATTGGATAAATTAATCTATGTTGGTCCATGCAAAGATGAGGAATCAAAACTACATGTTTTGAAGTCATTAACTAGAAAGTAAGTAGGCATTACATTTATTTTCAAATCTGTTTGTCTGTTTACTGAACAAGATTTATCAAAACTTTGAAAGCTCCGTATGAAAGATGAATCTTTTCTTGAATTTCTCGGTAGATTTTTATTATCAAAGTAAATAATCGATAATAAATATTAATATAATATTAATATTTGATAATAAATATTAGTTTTTTTCCTCGTCAAAAAGTTGGGCCATGCATCTTTGGTAGTCATTTAGATGATACCAGTGGGATACTCTCCCTAAAAGTCTATGCTTTTAGAGTTGTAGCCTCGTTTACTGCATTCTTGATGTGACATTTCTTTTTGAAATTTGGGAAAAAGATAGAAATCTTGGGTTGTTAGAGCCATATACCAACCCGTCAAAAAACCCTGTGCCTGTGTGGAGGAAAAATAAGCTTTTGCTGTGTGTCTTTTAATTTTTTCTTAATGAGTTTAGAGGAATTATATCATGCCAAAATTATAATAAAAATTGAAATATGAGCATAGGAAAAAAGAGGATTAAAACATGATCACTTGCTCATTAGGAATTTTCATGCATTTAATCATTTTCTCTTTCTGTCTCACAGACTTTTTTGATGGGGCACAGGGGTAACCTCCACACCGGTTAAATTTAAAAGTTCAGAGTCCCCCTGTGCCCCATTAGATTAGTCTCTGAGGACAACGGGACCCTCAAAGGAGGGGTATCGTTAAGGGCCTTTTTTGACCCCCCCCCCCCTAGAATCTGGAAATTTATGCGGGGTTTCCAAGTTGACTCAATATATTTTACGGAAATAATCATGATTTAGTCCATAGGCCACTGGATTGGTGTTAAACTGTTGCCTAAACATAGGTCTGCAGGCGTATTTTAGCGAAAAATCGTGTTTTTCTATCACTCCGTGGCTTTTTTGACACCGAGCGCATCGTCTAACTAAAACGAGCTTTTGATATGTTATTAAGGAAGCTTTAGAACACATTTTAACCCCGGTTTGGTTTTAGTTAGAGGATGCGCTCATAGTTAAAAAAAACTTTTTCAAAAGTCGACGTTTAAGGGACATCCAAAAAAATCTTCGGGAATTCCGTCGTTAAGGGTTTTTTTTGGCTACAATTAACGAATGCTCCTTGTAAGGGTTTGACAAGGCTTGATAACTGCCCTCGATAAAATACGTAGCATGCATACAGTTGGAGAGACATGTTCCCTAAGATTTTTGCTGATGTCCCTTCGGCAACTTTTGAAAAAGTTTTTTTTAACTGTGAGCGCATTATCTAACTTCAACCAAACCGGGGTTAAAATGTGTCCTAAAGCCTCCTTAATAACATATCAAAAGCTCGTTTTAGTTAGACGATGCGCTCGGTGCCAAAAAAGCCGCAAAGTGACAGAAAAACACGAATTTTCAAAATCCGTTATTTTCACTGCTGTTTGTATGGAAAATTCAATTTTTTTGGGACAAAATTGAAGGAAATCTCCTTGTGGGTCATTCCACGTCAACTGTGCCAGGCTCGGAACCCGACCCCCTCCGATTTGGCTGAAAATTGGTATACGGGGTCTTTACATCATTATAAGAAACTAATTTGAAGGGTTTTCCCATCCGACGCCCCGTTCGCGAGATATCGACCCCCAAAGATGGGGTGAATTTTAGCGATATTCAAAAACGCCCGTTTTAGCGATTCTCATTTTCTCGACTTCCCTCTCTTTAACTCTCCATAGCGAGACTCTGTATCAATCCATCATACTTTGAAAGAGTGTTTCTAGACCAGTTTTTCATGTAGATTCTGAATATGCCATCGAAATTTAGCTAAAAATTATTCTAATGGCCGTAATTTAGGGTTTTTTAAAATTTACGATTTTTTCGCCATTCAATGTTCAAACTCAATTATCTAAAAAACAGTCACTCCGATTTTCAATTTTTTTTTTATACTTCAAGCTTAGGATATATACTTTTGGTTGATATACTTTTTTCGATAGTAATCGGACGGTTAAGGGCCTAAAAAAATTCAAATAGGCCAAAAAAGGTCA